GCCACCCAGGCGCCCCAGTTTGTTCTTGTTTTTAGACAAAGAAAGAAGCGTACAAAGGTTCCTGGTCACAGACCTTTGTAGTAAATATATTTATACAGTTTTTTCCACTTTATTTACGAAGCAATGAATATATTGACATTTTTTGGATGATGAAAATGTCAGAAATCTGGGATGTCTATGGGTTTTGGTGTAATCACAAATTGTTGTGAACATCAGTATGTTTGGGAATTCAAGGTACAAGGAATGTCTGGCTTTGTTCTACAGAAAAATGTTTTCTCTTTACCTGGTAATGAATTTTAAGGATCCCTAGATAATAATTAAAGTAAGCCATATCTCACTTATTTGAACTATTTTAATCATCGCCAAAGTTTGCTCTCCTCATCTTTTAATTATATTTGTATTACTTTGTTCTAAGTATGATACCTATAAAATCAATTTTCTCTGATAAGCATCCATATCTCCCAGAAGAAATGTTCGGCTAAATGATTTCTTGCCCGCTTTTACAATCTAAATAAATTTACGTTAGGGATGTTGTTTCAGGTAAAAAACGAAGAGTGTTCTAAATCCCACTGAAGGGGCGCCTGGGTGGCTCAGTCAGTTAAGTGGCCAACTCTGGATTTCGGCTCAGGTCATGATCTCATGGTTTGTGAGATCGAGCCCTGCATTGGGCTCTGCACTGACAGCGTGGAGCCTTCTTGGGATTCTCTCTCTCCCTTGCTCTCTGCCCCTCCCCTGCTCGCGCGTGCACACACACTCTCTTTCTCTCAAATAAATAAATAAATAAACATTTAAAAAAAATCCCGCTGAAATGCATAAAGAAATAAAAAATGGGTTAAATACATAACAGCACTGAAGAAAGACGAGGAGACAGCAGAGAGTTTGGTTTCTAAAAGAGGGAAACGGGATGGCATTATATAGAGATAGACGAGAGAGAGTCAGAGATGCAGTGATTCCTAACACAACAGTCATTCAAGAGGTCCTCAGAAAAATGTCTTCAATAACAAAGTGCATTGACAAAAAGCATGATTTGTAACAATTTATAACAAATAGTATAATTTAGAAGTTGGAAGACCTTAGAGAAAGTAAAGGCCTGTTATTCATCTTTCAACAATGACAAAGGAAGTTAATTAGAAGTTCCTAGAAAACCAAATGTTGTACAAAGAAAGTCACAGTCTAAGTATGAAACAAATTAAGATATGGCATACATGTGGACTATAGATGAAATGAAATATGACAGAAGGGAATTGATTTGAGCTTGATGCTTGGAACATTCTCCCACAAGAGGCTCAAGTGTCTTTAAAAAAAAATTTTTTTTTTTATGTTTATTTATTTTTGAGACAGAAAGAGACAGAACATGAACGGGGAAGGGGCAGAGAGAGGGAGACACAGAGTCTGAAACAGGCTCCAGGCTCTGAGCTGTCAGCCAAGAGCCCTACACGGGGCTCAAACTCACGGACCGTGAGATCATGACCTGAGCTGAAGTCGGCCGCCCAACCGACTGAGCCACCCAGGCGCCCCACAAGTGTCTTAAAACAGAATTATTTCTCTTTCTCCATAGTTCCATGCTTTTGTCTTAGTTCTAAGTGAACATTTAGAAAATCATTAATGTATCAGGATATTAGACTGGAAATCTTACTGGCAGCACCAAGATATGGCAGACATGAGGTATCAAGGTCATAAGACAGACTGCAGAAGTTTCAAAGGAGGTGGCCAAGAGCCAGTCCCATGGCTCACCTGACTCTACCCTGGACAATCTAGCTCACAGACCAAAGGGCCAGCTTCTCTGATTGAGAGCAAAGAGGGTGCCATTAAATTGGGATCAGACCACACTCTCATAGTTTGTTTACATGAGGGAAGAGTGAAAGGTCCTCTAGTCAGTTTTGGCCCCCAAGTGAAAGAGAGCCAGCCTGGAGGTGTTCAAAATCCGGAGGTATTTAGAATCACCAGGAAGGATGATGAGACCTCTGAAACAGGGTGTTATTTGGAGTGACCTGCTGAAAAAGCCAGGATCTGAAGGGGGAAGTGGCAGTGAGAGAAAGCGATGCCTGTGGCATCCCAGGGGAAGGCTGTGAGGAACCATGGCAATGCTCAGGAAGACCTGCCAGGCCCAGAAAATGCAGTCTTCCTTTTAGGCTGCTGGGCAAGGAGGAAGAGTTAAGTCCCCTTTCCATCCTCTCTCTTCTCCCTTTCAATCTGAAGAGGTCAGGAATCATGGTTAGCAAGATGGGAAGGAGGATTGAAAGCCTAAGAGAGAAAGAGAAGGACCAGCCTGACTGTCCCTAGTTTCCTGCCTATTGAAGGCAACCGATGGAAAACAGGAGGAGATGTAAGCTTCATGTGTTTCAAGTTTTGATTTTACATGGAACTGTACACATTAATTACTGAATTAAGACTGTGTTTGCTAAATAAAGTGGTCGCAGGGCTTTCTATTGCCTAAGACTGCCCAACAAAGTCCTGGGGCATGTCCGTATTTTTAAATAGGGACAGAGAAAAGAATTCACCCAATGAGCAGGTTTAAAGAGACAGAGGGAGACAAAAATAAAGTTGCACTCTGATTATTACATTTCATGAATCCTGTTTGTTTAGTATGACAATTACAATAATAGTGTAAATGTTATTTACTAGATTTACATTTTTTTAAAAGTTTATTTATTTTGAGATATAGAGAGAGTGCAAATGGGGAAGGGGCAGAGAGAGAGAGCAAGAGAGAGAGAATCCCAAGCAGGCTCCTCATCGCCAGTGCAGAGCTTGGCACAGGCCTCAAACTCATGAACCATGAGATCATGACCTGAGTGACATTGGACACTTAACCGACAGAGCCACCCAGGCACCCAGCTTTACAGCAGAACTCAATCGAGCAGAACTCAATGATGTAACTGTCATGGAACACCTTAAAGAAGCCAAGTGGTAGATGAGGGAGAGAGGGTAGAGGGGAGCAGAAAGAGTTAATTGTTAAAAAAAAATTTTTTTTAATGTTTATTTATTTTTGAGAGAGGGAGAGATGGAGCATGAGCTGGGGAGGGGCAAAGAGCAAGAGAGACATAGAATCTGAAGCAGGCTCCAGGCTCTGAGCTGTCAGCACAGAGCCCGATGCGGGGCTCAAAGTCACAAACCGTGAGATCATGACCTGAGCCTAAGTTGGATGCTCAACCAACTGAGCCACCCAGGTGCCCCGAGTTAATTCTTGTTTTACAAAGTGGAATTAAGAGATAATGCTTTATAGCAATGGATTAAGAAATAGATGGCTAAATAGAAAATTCAAATTTATAAAGGTAACCAAAAGAAGAAATAAAAATGTAATACATCAAAATTGGGAAAAGTAGATCAGGAAGAAAAGGGGAATATTTTGTGATTTAAATGCCTCAGTTTTTTAAAGGGTTAGCAGTAATTACAGCTTAAAATTGCTAAACCAGAAATAAGGTATAAGATTTCAAAACAGAAGGGAGGGAGACAGAGGATCTGAAGCAGACTCCATGCTGACAGCAGAGAGCCCAACATGGGGCACAAAGTCACAAACCTGTGAGATCATGACCTGAGCCGAAGTCAGATGCTCAACTGACTGAGCCACCCAGGAGCCTCTAGTTTTAATTTTATATACTTGTATATTTTTTCATTTTTTACTGCATGCATAGTGTTTCTAACAATAAATAAAATGAGATTCGAGCAAAATAGTAATGTCAATTAGAAAATTCCTACCTGGCTCTAATCCAGGGCTTGGTGTGCATATTGAGACTGCTTCCCCAACTCCCATATTTGTCAGAAGCAGGAGGCCAAAAGCCCCTTTCTGGGGCCAGCTCCTCTGCAATCGCCCTGATGTGGTAGGGTTCAAATCCACAGCACCCGCCAATGTACCTGACCCCGAGTTTGTAGGCCTCTCTGGCATATTTCTGAATATCCCATCTGGTTGCAGCTCTGGGCTCCAGTCCTGCAACACAACCATCACAGCATTGCTGTTACTGTCCTTGTATTCAAATCACAGGTGCTCTGATGGGCATTTTTTACAATTAGAAAATCACGAACTCTAGAATCTGCTCATTTTTCATTAACATTGAACGTTTTTGTCTCATGCGGTCTCTATTTGTAAGACCGTACCATAGCTATTTATTATGGCCGTTTCCATGTTGTCAGCACAAGAAAACACAAGGACCTCTAATATGTGGCTGGGCTTACCAAAGGGATATTCTGGGAGATCCACAAACCCTCCTTTGCCACAGTCCGGTGTATGGAAGCCTAGGGACTGCACCATCAGATGCGCCTTCGACCCTGCAGCCGGTAGGCCCGCCTTCATGAGTTTCATCGTCTTCAAGCTGGTGCTGGGTCCAAATCGGCAGTTCACGCCCACAATCGCAGCCCCTAGGCAAAGAAATAAAGGACTTATATATTTTATTTATTTTATTTTTTAGTAGTTGGAAATTGCCTTAGAAATTAGCTATCCTTCTCCACCGCCCAAGTTTTACAAATAAGGAAACCAATTCCAGTTAATTCTGTTAGCAATGAACGGCTCTCACAATATTAAGCAACCTTTGTTAAATTTTATAAACAATAGCTGAACTGCTAATCACACGATGCATCCAGATTACCTGCCTTCACCAGCTTAATGGCACATTCTCCAGGTGATACGCCATGCATGTCTCCGTCTGGGCCTATGCACATGGTAGCTGCCACAGGTTTACCCAACGCTTTTAACACTTCCACAGCCCACATGGCTTATTCAGCATGCTCAAAATACTAAGAAAAATTTCACCATTTCTATTGGTCCAAGTGTAAAGCAGATTTTGAAAGGTGGAATGCAAGTGTTGCCAAATAGTTATAAAAATAAATAAATATATGTGGTAAAACTTGCTAGGAACAGGTATTTAGCAGACTAAAGAATACGTTTTTTTTTTTTTAAGTTTATTTATTTATTTTGAGGGAGAGAGAGAGAGAGAGCTCGTGCGAGCAGGGGAGAAACAGAGAGAGAGAGAGAGGAGAGAGGGAGGGAGAGAGAATCCTAAGCAGGCTCTGCTCTCAACACAGAGTCCAACACGTCACTCGATCCCATGACCCTGGGATCGTGACCTGAGCCAAAATCAAGAGTTGGACACTCAACCAACTGAGCCACCCAGGCACCCCTAAAGAATGCTTTTCTAAAGTACACATTTTAATTCCTTTAACAATAATATATAGATTTTCATTCGGGGATCATTGATTCAGCAAGATGATGACTGTTAGGAAAAAAACAGAAGCAAAAACCACAAAGGTTTTTAAAGTAATTGAGTATTTAAATTCATAATTTTGAAGGAATTTTATTAATAAACTCTTTTATGGAATTGGGGTAATCTCCAAAAAAAATTATGAGTAGTGTATTATGCTTAATACTTCAAAGTGATTTTATATTCACTTCTAGTTAGACGTTCATAAGTGCTCCATGAAGTAGGGAGAAATATGATGATTTCTGCCCGGTGAGAACGCTGAGGCACAGGGCAGGGAGGAATAGCTACCGAGTTTCTTTGCCGAGGGTGGACAAGACACCTTGTCTGGTAAACCCAGGCCATTTGCAGGGGTGCTTCCCAGGAATGTCTTTAAGGGCCATCACTGAAAAGCTGACCTTAAGTAAGTGAAGAAAAGTCAGCAAAAATCTCCCTGTCTTCTTCCTTCTTGACTTAGATTCTGCAGAATCAGTGTGTGGGGAATGGCAGAGGGAGTCCACAGAGAGGTTCTTGCAAAACAAACTGGTGTCCTCATCCATCTGGAGAACCTATCAGGTGGGGTTTGTGACCGTCTCTGCAGATGATTCTTGCCAGGTGTGTCTGTCAGGCTTGGCTGGCCCTGAGCCTTAGGAAGGTTGACCAAGCAAGGTCTTCAATAGGTTCAGAGAGTGGTTAGGGAAATAGCAGTTGGGAGGCTATTGTCCTTGTTGAGGGTAGAGATTTGGGTTGAGAGCTTGACCTTACACGGTAACAAAGGTGGGAAATGGGGAATGAGGGCTTTTTTTTTTTTTTTAAATGTTTATTTATTTTTGAGAGAGAGAGAGAGTCCAAGCCAGGCAGGGGCAGAGAGAGGGGATCCAAAGTGGGCTCTGTGCGGACAGCAGTGAGCCCAATGTGGGGCTCGAACTCATGAACTTTGAGACCATGACCTGAGCCGAAGTCAGACGCTCAACCAGCTGAGCCATCCAGGTGCCCCGGGAATGAGGGCTTTTTAATTTTTGGAAGTGGAAGGAAGAGAATGTTCTGGGCCTTCATGTCCAATCAATGTTCAATTCTTATTGATTTTTTTCTTCAAAATATCACTCACATATCATAGCTTGAGGGAAAGCCGAGGGATTGGGGTAAGCACAGCATGAACAGAGGAGGGCAACGAAACTACTTGGTACTGAGTATTGTTAGTGGGGCCTGCATGAGCCCGAGCAACCATCTACCTCCTAAGCTTTGCTCTCACAGCCTCTAGCTCATGCACACAGCCCCTTCCTGCCCTGCCCCTCCCGCAGGAGAGACTGCTTCCTGAATCACCGTCCCCTTCTCACCCAACATTGCACGGTCCCCTGTGAGTCAGCTGCTACAACCACCCAAAAGAACACGAAGGCTATAGGTAGGCCTGTCCTGGGTCTGCCCTTTGGCTTCACACAGAACCTAGCACACAATTGAGAGGATGTTTGCCTTGATTACAGTGCATTTAAACAAACCTTTGACCCTGTACCCTGAGGAAACGAGGGCACAAAGCAATCCAATACCCTCCTGAAAGCTGAAGACTATGCAGTTGTATTTGTCAAAATAGTGTTTCCCTAAAACACAAGCCTTACCTCGGCAATCAAGAAGTCCACATTTTTCCTGGCAAAAACATCTAGCTGGCGTTGAAAGAGTTGTTTGACTCTAGCTTCACCCTTGTGGTGTGTGTACGCCGATGTCTGGCAGATCCCTCCTGCCACCAAAGCGTCACCTTTTCCAGCCACTTCCCTGGCAAGGTCACAGGCAGCGGCGTTCACATCTTCCCACTGAAGCTGGAGAGCAAGAGTTCAGATGGTGAGCCTGGCGTTTTAGAGGTAAAATATTACAAATAACCAAAGGGGCAATGAGCAAGTAAGACGAGTTCAAGGTATGGGGTAAACTGCAAGTTGGGAAGACCAGCAGAGTTGGGTACCTTCTCCTCTACTACCAGTGAGCTTATAGTTCCATGACTGGACTTGCCACACTGGATCTTAGTAAATGTTTGTTTGCCTCCCTCACTTGACTGTGAGCCACTTAGGAATCCGGTCTGTGGCTTTCTTTCATCTTTGTTTCAAGCATAGAGATTGGACTATAGCAGGTACTCAAGAAATGCTGGTTGGTTGAATACATGGGCATGAACATTTGCAAGTATTAACACTTTTCACGTATGGAATATCTCACAATACTTCCACATTCTTCTCCTCATCTACTTTTCTCATCAACCCCATGCATTTAAGCATAAATTATCTCTATTTGCAGAGAGAAAACCAATGCTCCCTGCAGTCAAGTGTCTTGCAAAACGTCACACACCCAACAGATGGCAAAGTTGAGTATCAAACCCAATTCTTCTCATTCCTAGGCCAGTGCCATATTCCCAAGGACCACCCTGTCTCCAGATGGACAAGTCAGAAGAGAAGACAGTGAAATAAGGGAAAAAGGCATCTATAAAATAACAGCACAGGATGACCATGTCCTTCCAATGGCCAATTCCTTCCCAGTCCTATCCTCCCCACATACTCCAGCTAAAGAGGCAGAAAAAAAAGCTCATTTATTTAGTATATATTCATTTACATAATAATTAATTCTTTAATAGACATTTTGTGTGGAGTTTGTAGCAAAGTATAGTAACACATCAGGTCAATTCCATAGCTTCCCGTCAAGAGGTTACTTTTTTTTTTTTTTTAACGTTTATTTATTTTTGAGACAGAGAGAGAGAGAGAGCATGAACAGGGGAGGGTCAGAGAAAGAGGGAGACACAGAATCTGAAACAGGCTCCAGGCTCCGAGCCATCAGCACAGAGCCCGATGCGGGGCACAAACCCACGGACCGCGAGATCATGACCTGAGCTGAAGTCGGACACCCAACCGACTGAGCCACCCAGGCTCCCCAAGAGGTTACTTTTATTACAGATGATCCCTGACACTTTCCTCCTCCCTCCCTTCACACCTGCCCCCACACCAAAATTACCTTGCTCTCCATATTGTCCTCACTGGCAGAAAAGGTGAAAGTCTGCATGACATTTGATCCTGCTCTCAAGAATTCCATGTGAAGTTGACGAACTACAAGGTAGATTTTGAATTAAAATTAAGAAGATAAAAACCATAGGAGCTTTCATTTATAGCAAAAGTAGCTTACCCACTCACATCTCTTTTAATCAGACACATTTCAAACCTTGTACTTATAAAAAAATTGCAGATTACGGTCAGTAGAATTCAAGGACAGAACAAGGCAGAGTCAATACCAAACTGGGGCTATTTGGAGTAGCCTCATGTTGCCCTGTCGATGGGCCTCAACAGCCTGGTGCAGTCGCAGGCAGAGATTAAGGCCTGGTTGGCCAACTGCCCCCTCGATCTTTTGGTCTAGAGAGGGTTTATCTATTTCCCTGTGTTGTGAGGGATGTGGCTGGTCTACTTATAGTCAGCACTGGGAGCCCTCAAAAAAGGATGAGGAAATTCTCAAATTGGACAGAGTGTATGTGGGTTGTGCCCGCATCAAACTGATTCAACAGCAAGCAGCTGCTAAGGTGCCATCAGAGAGCTTTTGTTGGCCTATCAGAACACCCTTTCCTTCTCTCTCTTCATCCTTGTTATTTCAACACTTTCTGGTTTAGCAGAAGAATCTTCTAAAATGAAGAACAGGGGCACCTGGGTGGCTCATTTGGTTGTGTTTGACTCTTGATTTTGACTCAGGTCATAACCCCAGGTTCGTGAGATCAAGCCCCTCGTCGGGCTCTGTGCTGACAGCATGAAGCCCACTTGGGACTCTGTTTCTCCCTCTCTCTTTGCCCCTCCCCTGCTTGCATGTGCTTGCACCACGTGCTCTCTCTTTCTCAAAATAAATAAACTTAAAAAAAAATAAATAAAATGAAGAACAAGTTTTCCTTGGGCCAGATGAAAACTTCATGCTAAGCACCAGAGAAATAAAACCTGGTCCCACCACATAACTCTGGGTGTTGGATGAAACAATGCAAATGCCATCAGGGACTTAGGACACGTGGGACCCTTCACACCGGTTAACTCACAAGTCCTGACAACTAGCCCATCTCACACCCTCATGTGGCATGGATCAAGAAACTGACCCTTGGGAAAGTCAAATGACTTGTCCAAGGTCACACGGCTGGTCGGCAGAAGAACCAGGACAGGATCCCAGGCTTCTCAGATACACCGTGCATATATGAATAAAATCAGAGCAAACTGAAAGTTCCATTCCCAGTTTGTATCCATTTCATTCTTTCACTCTATCTTCCCCTTTAATTTAGGACCTTGCTCTCAATAAAGAGTAAAAGCAGAATTAAAGCTGCAGTGGATGTTACTCACCAATCCCATCCCAGTTTCTGCCTCCAACTCTTATTGTTTTTTGGTTTTTTTTTTCTAGCTAAGGGGATGAGGTGAAACTGTTTATTTCTTCACACCCCTCTCCCCCAGCAAACCCCAAATGTCTACTCTCTATGCTCTGTTAATCTGGTGGTTACCATTAATCATCTTTACCAAACACGGTTCTAGTATAATAAGCAAATTAGCCAGAAGGATTAACGTGAAGCCATAACACATTAGGTTCAGGAAACTCTTGACTATCCACAAGGTGAATATTCATGGAACAAATATTAAGGTGTATAATTTAACGCCTCCTATATATGAAGATGCAAGCGTGTGGTGGTGGGCGGGGGGGAGGGAGAGGACATTTTATTCTACGTGCTTCAGCCACATACTGTCACCGTCTACATCTTGGTGATTCTGGCAAAGGAAACAGTCCTTAGAAAACACTGAGAATTATTCCTTTATATTCTCTCAGTCAGATTTAAGCAAATTGTCACCCAGATAAACGCCGTCAGGGCTGCTGGCACTGACCTGCATTGGGATATTCCACCACCGCTTCTGGAGTCCAGAGCCCCGCCTTCATGTAGCCCCTCTTCTCCAGAGTTAGGAGAAAGCTGCCATCTCCAACCACAACCTCCCCATTCTCCAGACGTTCCAAAATACCCTGAAGAAAAGAAAGAAAAATCACCCAAGATGCCTCTTTTTTTTTCCCCCCCCTTAAAGCAGTTTCCAATTTTAGGAAATGTGGTCCTATGTTCTTATAGATCCAGTTCTGTCAAAATCCTCAATGTCTAACAATATTCTAGAAAGACTGAGTATACTATATTTCCTGGAAATTCCAGGTACTTGTGTTGTGCAAAGTGCTGTGACTGTTTTTTCTCAAATAATGTTTACACTGAGTCAAATTATAGTGAAAGTGCTGATTCTGCGATATACTGTTTTCTCAACATGTTTGTGGCAGACACTGATAGTTGCCTAATTAGTATGTATTTCCTCTTCTCTTCTTTGTTAATTATTTCATTTGGGGAGACAATGTCCTCAACTTAAAAAAAATTCTCTGGCGGAGGGGCAGTGCACGCCTGAGTGGCTCAGTCGGTTAAGTGTTTGACTTCAGCTCAGGTCATGATCTCGCAGTTTGTGGGTTTGAGTCCTACATTGAGCTCTGTGCTGACAGCTTAGAGCCTGGAGCCCTGTGTATCCCTTTCTCTCTGCCCCCTCCTACTCTCTGTCTTTCTCTCTCTCTCTCAAACATAAACAAACATTAAAAGAAAATTTATTAAAAAAATTCTCAGGATGCCTGGGTGGCTCAGTTGGTTAGGCATCTGACTCTCGGTTCCTGCTCAGATCATGATCTCACAGTTTGTGGGATTGATCCCTGCATTGGGCTCTGCAATGACAGCATGGAACCTGTTTGGGATTCTCTCTCTCCATCTCTCTCTGCCCCTCCCTGGCTCACACTCTATCTTGCTCTCTCTCAAAATAAATATATAAACTTAAAAAAAAATTCTCAGGCTCCCTTCCGCTGGGGGGAGGTGGGTATATTACATAGAGCTGGCCAACGAGACACGGGCAGAAGCCAGTTAAAGATTTCTGGCAAAGTTTTGCTTTCCTGATATAGATGGGCACTCTCTTCCATCGTGGCACTTTTTCTCCTTCCTGACTAGAATGTCAATATAAGCCCTAGAGGTATACCAGTCATCCTGCAGCCATGCCATTGAAAGTCACACACTAAGGCAGGTGGAGCCGACTAATAGTTGCTGTCACTCACAGCCGCAGGGTTTTAACGGCATCTTTGCGTAGCTGCAGCAGCCATGGATTGTTAGGCCTCACGTTAGGGGAGAAAACTAGCTTCTTTTTTTTGCATAAACCACTAAACATAATCCTAAGGGACAGAAAGTTTCATAACTATGCCCCTACATTTTCCAGCATGTTCATATATGTTTTCATTTGGTACTCCCGACAACTCTGTGAGCTAGGCAGGGCAGATGGTTTTTATTCCCATTTTATAAATGAGGAAACTGAGGTTCAACGAGACTAAGTGACTTGTCCAAGACCACAGAGCTAAGAAAGATTACAAAGCTAAAGTGGACTTCAGATCTCCTAAATTCCTAATCTACTCTCTTTCTAATCCCACTTTTCTGTTTGGCCCACCCATACTTGAATAAAAGGCTGTATCCAGAGCAGTTCTCCAAGGGCTTACAGTTTCCATTGTCTAAAACGTGCCTCCCTAAATACCTGCCTCCCCCAAATACCTGCATGGCTCACCGTCACATTCCTTCAGGGCTTTGGTCAAGGGTCATCTTTTCAGGGAGGCATTCCCTGACCATCCTATAGGAAAACTGCAAACACTCCCATGGTGACCCCTACTCTTCTTGTAAAGATTGCATTAGCTGAAGATACAATCTTTTATTGAAAATACAAGGCCGGTTCACTTCAGCCCTGTCTACAGCTAGACACACAGCAATGCATGAGTGGGAGAGAAATGCCTTCAGCTGCCCCTTCTAACCAGCCATATCTGCAGCCCAGGAAGGTACATTAGAAAGAGTTGCAGGGGAGGCCACCATATCTAGAGCATCTCCATTTTTGTGTGGAGGGAAGTGAAATGGAATACAAGCTGTGTTAGCTATATTAACCTTAAACACTGCTTTGACTCTGGTTATTTTTTCCATATTTTATATCTAAAGATGAATTTTAGTTGAATGTGGAAGAAATGTTAATATTTATTATGATTCTCACCTAGTTCTCTATTCCTTCCAAGATATGCAATTTGCTCTTTTAATGTTGTTCTTTTGAAACATAAAAAAAGACTTCAGCTTTAAATTTTCATGCGAACTTTCCACATGCCAGGTACATTTCCAGGCAAGAGGGATAAACATTGGACTAAGCCAAGGCAAGGCCCCTGCCCTCAAGAAACTCAAAGTCTGCCCACCCGGAGGAAGGCTGATGGGTCAAAAAATCATCACAATATATGTAATAAAGAAATGCTGCAGAGGAATACAGAACAGAAAATCAGAGATATAGTCATCTGTATAAAATCTCATCTTGGAAATCTAACACTTCAATTACAAGCTAAGATTCAAATTTAATAGTACACACCAAACAATTCTAGAGGGGAAAAACACTGGCATACAGTTTAGGTGTTACAGGTTAGTATCTCACCTACCACATTCAACCTGTCTCAGGGTTATGCCAAGTGTATCTATTTAACACTTCTTAGATACGTACCCACATCCTTACTGTCCCTGGATTATTGAAATGACCTCCAATTCGCTCCCACAGCCCACTCTGTTGTATATTCCACTGCTGCAGACCAAAGCCTTGCCTGTCTGACTCTTACTTATAATTACTTCCTCCTTTGTGTTCTGCTTCAGGTCAAACACCCTCCATTCCTGCATCTGTCACCTGTAGCTATAGTATCTGGTTACTTACCTGTCCCCTCTGTTTGGCTTTAAAATGCTTGAGGCTCAGGTGACAAATCTCATTTGTCTGTATCCCTACCACCTCAAACAGCACCTAACAAAGAGTAGGCTCTTAACAAACTATGCCAAGAGTCAGCAGACAGATAAGATTTTTGAAACTGTCACTTGTGTCTTATGTGCTACAAGTTTAGTCCTGAGGAGAGAGAGAGAGAAAAAAATGACACTCTTTAACAGAAAATTAGCTAGCTAGGGTTTTAAGAAAATTATAGTGCCTATTTTGATTGTGATCTTCACGATAACAAGTTAAGCCATTTTGATCTGTTATCTAGATGTTTGTCCAAAATTTAAAATTTTGCCAGTTTTCTTAAAAAGCCATTAGCAAAATAGCTATATTATCAAGACTTGAATTCAGAGCACCTTTAAGCCTCTCCTTCACTGCTCTATCTACCACCCTAGTTAATTACTACACCAGCTGATCTAAAGACAGCTCCAGAATGACAGGGGACTCTGTAAAATAAAGAGCAATGTAAATTAATTTGCAGTACATTTATATTTTCAGTCCATCCTCCCTTTCAGTTTGGCAGTGAATCTGCCTTGGATCTGGTAGTGAGCTCTGAGAGGCATTTATGGTTCCTTGTTGCAGATGTCAGTATCTAGACTTCTGGATTTAAGGTATGGCTTCAGGGCACCTCTGATCAGACAGATGAGTAGACCAACTTCATTCACCCTCGGCCAGACGCTGCCAGAGATCCAATATGCCTGAAGTTGCCACTAGGACTGCTCTTGGGGATTAATGAAGCGATTGGAAGTGTCCCCTGTGGCAACTAAATGAATTCTTAAAATGTACCTGTTGGCTGACAGGAGAGGTGAGATTAGCTGCTTCCCAGTAACATTTTAACTCCCAGGTACACATTAACATGATTATCATATGATAATCTTGGCGTTGCAAGAGCAGAGGCTGGGAAGAAATTGAACAGGGACAGCATATTTTAAAAACCTTTTAAAAAGTGAGCCAAAGGTGAACACAGTAATACAGAAAATTTAGAGAAAGAAATCAGCACAATGTCTTTATCTTTTATTAAGCTCATTTACTTCAATGCCCATATTTTACTTTTATAAAACATATCCAAAGATTTTTTTTTAATTGTTAAAGTCATATTCCACATCTTATGCAACTATTACCATTATTATTTCTTTCCTTTCACTGCATATATAAATATTTACACAGTTGGGGTCGGTCTGTATAGTATAACTCCTTTTGTAACTTAACTATTGTCAAAGCAGTTTGCTTGTTCTCATACTTAGCTTCTTAATTGGCTGCCTAATAACTTATTAAGTGGATGGACCTTTATTTAGGGAGCGCACCATCATTGGGCATCTTGATTGTTGCTAACTTTTTAGAAGAAAAAGATCAGTGGTGCATACTTACATGCCTATATAGCTTCTCCCTTCCCCCCTCTGAGTTTCAGGGCACAGCTGGGTTGCTTTGAGGGATCCTGGAGATGTTCTGCGTCCAAGTTCATGGATGCAAGTTAATTTTGTTTTGTCACCCCTTCCCCTCACCAAGAAACGTTGGGGGGTAGGGGGACAAAGCTGACACTTGGTGAACAGAGAGGGAAAGGGGCCTAGAGAAGGAACCAGGTAGCCGGTCCTACTGAAACGGCTAGGCAGAGCGCCGCTACCCCACTAACCTGCGCACTTCCCTACCCGCCCCCACTCCGCGGTGGGGGTCTGGGAGCATCTTGCACCCCTGGTTTCAGGCCGGCCCATCAGTTGCAGGGCCAGGCTGCTACCCTTCCCAAAACGCCAGAGAACCAAGCTCTGGGGCTAGTTGAGCCCAAGAGCTGAGGTAGGCTGAGGGCAGAAAATGTGAGCGCGGCGCCTGTGTCGGGAGCTAGACTTCAAATCCCCGCTCCACCCTGGACTAGATGGGTGACCTTGAGCTAGTGGCCTTTCTGGGCCTCAGTTTCCTCACCTGAAAAATGGGAATAATTGTGCGCAGTCCGCGAAGTGTGGGGCACCGAGTCCGGGCTCAGTAAATTATCTAATCCTCACGCCAAGGCGGTATTGTCGCCCCGGGCAAGTGGCGATCGCGTGTACTGAGACACAGATCCCTCCAGGTGCCCGGCCAGGGCCGCAGAGCTAATTCAAGGGTTGAAGTGGGGTCTCAACTCAGGCGCCGGGAGCCCCTCGCCCGGGAGCGCTGAGTACCTCGCCGACTCCCGGAAACTCACCTTTTTGGCCCCGGGGCCTCCGGCCGGTGCCATCTCGCCGCTGCTGTGCGGCCGCCGGGTCCGCGAGAGCGCGCCAAGCTCTGGAACCCGCCCCTCGCCCGAGGGAGGGTCCCCCAGCAGAGCCGCCGGCCCCGCTGCCCCAGGGTGTCCGGTGGCCTCGGAGCAGGCTCCCGCGCCCGCGCCCTCGGCCTCCTCGGCCTCGCCATGCTCCGCCCGGGCGCGCAGCGGGGCCTCCTGCTGTCGAGTCTCCGGCTGCAGGGCTCCCCCGGCCGCCCGCGCTCAGCCTGCGGCCGCCAAGGGTGAGTGGGGGCCCGGCCGGCGCCGAGGTCCGCGGATGGGCTGCTGCCTGGGTGGGTGGGAGCCAGGGCCTGAGGCAGTCTGCCGGGTCGGGGGAGCCTGGGCCTCTGAGAAATGGGCGTTCGGATTTCTTCTAGATGTACGTGTTTTCTTTTACACGCGCTGGTGGACAAAGTGAAACAGTATCAAAGGGTTCCCAGTGCGAAGTTACTCCTACCCCCATCTCCCAGTCAACTTGTTAACAGTGTCTTCTGTATTTTTCCAGAGATTGTCTATGTGTAAGCAAACATAGGAAGATATACACCTATATATATATAGGTGTGTATATATATATAGGTGTATATATATATACCTATATATGTATATAGGTATATATATATACACACCTATATACATATATAGGTATATATATATATGTACACCTATACATATACACACCTATATATATATGGGGTGTGTGTGTGTGTGTGTATATATATATATATATATATATATGGTGTATATCTTCCTATGGTATATAGAGATATATATTCCTCTTTGCCTTACTTACACCTTGCTTTTTACAACGTGTCCTGGAGAGGCCCACAATCCTGCTAGGTAGAAAGTCACGCAAATAAATATATGAGACCACTGAGCAGTAACTATAAAATTAGAGGAGGCTGTACGTGGTGAGGAAGTTAAACGAAGAAGAACATTTTACTCCGTCTGGCTCTCCGCAGCCTGGAAAGCATTGGATGGAGGAGATGATCCAAGACTTACAGGAGCTAAAGTTCATAATAATGGTTTTTCTTGGAATAGAATGATTATGTGTGTTCTCCAAGTAGACTGAAAAAAAAAACTACTCTTTAACTCTTTTGGGAAAAAAAAATAGAAGTCATGTTCAATTCTTTAGCTATATTTGTTATCTACAATGGACCAGAATTATATGGAACGGGTTTCAAAGTCCTCCTCTTTCCTTCTTTAACCAGGTTGCTTCAATCAGGGTTTAGATGCCCCAATGACGAAATCAGCGCTATGCAACCCTCACGGGCACTGTTAAGACACTAGAGAAAAAAGGAGAAGAAACAGGAAACAAGTCAGAAAAAGTACAGCTGCCATAGCCTAATAAAACTACCATTTACAAAAATTGTCTTCCAGAGAGGAAAACGCACCTTTGTCTGCAGAAACAAGATGGAAAGACAGAGCAGAAACTGTGATAATTGGAGGTGGCTGCATTGGTGTGAGTCTGGCTTATCACCTGGCCAAAGCAGGGATGAAGGATGTGGTCCTCCTGGAAAAATCAGAGCTCACTGCTGGATCTACCTGGCATGCAGTAAGAAAAGCCCCTCCACACCTTTTGGGATGAGCACTGGGTGTTGTATGGAAACCAATAAATTTCCAATAAATTTCCAAAAAAAAAAAATAGAAAGAAAGAAAGAAAAGCCCCTCCAAACCATCACCTGCCCTGAAGTGTGTGAACCAGTGCAATCAACTTTCTTCCCATCACAACTCCCCACTTTGAGCTCTTTAGAGTGAGTGTCCCTTCAATAGTGTTGGAAAGTGCAATTGCAGTCTAGTGATCAAAATAGATAATATTTTTATCTTGAGCATATAGCTTCTGGATTCACTCCTGGCTCTGCCATTTTCTACCCGTATGACTTTTGATCAGTTTCCATTTCCTGATGTGCAGAAAGGAAATATTAACAGTACCTCGCTGACAGGGTTGTGATGAAGATTGAGTTAATATGTGTAAAGGTATTAAACACATGGTAAATGTTTAGCAAATGTTGGCTTTTGTCTGGAAGGATGTAGCTGGATGATGGCACATATAGCCAGAGACCTGCACTAAATTCCCCTCACCTGGGTTTTGTGGTCTTTTTAGTTTCATTTATGATTTTAATGCAGCCCTGTGAGACAACAGCTTGGTGTCATGAGGCTGAGAACTGTGAGGGCCGAGAACATGTGATGTTGCTTTTGTGTTGTAGTAAATTAACATGCAGCCTCTTCCGTTGGGCAGACTTAATAATACAAACAATTGTTCCAGCACTACACAATAATTGGGCTTAAATGGAAAGTTACTCAGGTGAATGAAGTGACTGACACTGCTCTCATAGCATTATGCCGTATCAATGATTTCTGAAGTCAGTTAAGGAAGAGAGAGGAAGTTTTTGTGACTGTCGGTACACATTTCTTTTGGAGAAGGAATTGGGCAGTGTTAGCCACTGCTCACCGTCCCTTTCGTTTTTTTTTATTTTTTTTTTTAATTTTTTTTTCAACGTTTTTTATTTATTTTTGGGACAGAGAGACAGAGCATGAATGGGGGAGGGGCAGAGAGAGAGGGAGACACAGAATCGGAAACAGGCTCCAGGCTCTGAGCCATCAGCCCAGAGCCTGACGCGGGGCTCGAACTCACGGACCGCGAGATCGTGACCTGGCTGAAGTCGGACGCTTAACCGACTGCGCCACCCAGGCGCCCCTCACCGTCCCTTTCTGTTGTGAGTTTTCCTCTGCCAAGTCAGGAGGAAACCCTGCTTTCCGGGGACTTTAGAATCTAGAGCCTGCTCTAGGTTTGGGGGGTGTTAAGCACTGAAAGGGCTGCCTGTGTCCTGCGGAGATCAGGGGACACCGCAGCCCAGACGTAAGCCCCCCTGGCCACTGGGTCCTGGTGGTCTCAGAGTCAGACTACACTTATGGTTGGATGGAAGCTCCTAGAAAAGTCACACCAAGCCCAGTTCCTCTTCCCTGTCTCCTTTCCCTCCAGTCCCCTCATTTCTGGGTCTGAGAGGGAGGTCCAGGCACCTGGTCCTCCCTGAATGTAATTTCAGAGCCTTTACAGCCATACTGTCTCTTGTTTCACCCTGTCCCTCAACTCACTTCCTCCTACCTGGAGAGAGGGGTCTGGGAAGCCACCAAAACTCCGGGCCCTTCTCCCCTCCCCGAACTAGACTTTCTCTTCAGGCTTCACATTATCACGCAAGAGGAAGCCTGAATCTCTCCTGTAGTTCTCCTGGCACTTCTCCTTCGTGGACAGTCACTCAGCCTTTCAACAAATATTCACTGAGAGCCTACGTTGTGTCAGGCCAGCCCTGGTCTGAGAGGTGGGGACACAGCAGTGAATAAAGCTAAGTCCCTGCCCTCACGGAGCCACATTCTGGTGTGCTAAACAGAAAACAATGCCTGAGAGTAATCGGTGCCTCGAAGAAGAGTAAACTGGGGTAGAGGGGTGAAGAATGATGGGGTGCAGGAGTCAGGAGGCTACCTTGAGGAGAGGTAGCCAAGAAGGCTACCTTGAGGAGGTGACATCTCAGCAGAGACCAGCCAGAGGGGAATGAGGTGCTGGTGAGGCTGTCCAGCCAAGAGCATGTAAGGCAGAGGGAAATTTAGGCAAGTGGAGATATCCTGAGAGGGAGGCTTATACCCTTTTAATACTTCTGGGTTGTTAAACAGGGCATACACCTTAATATTTTAATTACTTATTTGCTCATTTAGATTTCATTGATTTGATGTGACCTACATTTTAGAATAGATTACTGGATTCCCTGCATTATTACTTCTTAGACATTTCATGAACGAAAAAAAAAAAAAAAGCAACATACTCTTAACCTAAGTTTTTTGGAGAAAAGTGGGCAAAGTTTTTAAGATGATAGCTTCTGGTTAAATGTTAACTGTGCCAAATATGTCTTCTTCAACCAGAGAGATATCAGAGTGAGTGGAAAAGGCATTCTCCTGCTTTGTGTACAAGGTTTACGCTATGGTTTACAAAATGAGATTCATGCAGAGCGAGTTCAAGATGGACTTGGGCATCAGAAGCCAGGTTATTTGTCCCACTGGGAATAAAGGAAAAGGAAAGAGGGTTGCCCTGGGAAGTCGGTCCCAGGACCTTTTGCAAGTCAGGGAGGCCTACCTCTGAGGAACAACATGAAGAAATTCTACACGTTGGGAATTTTTAACATAGAAATATTTGGAGCAGATATGAGAATGTAGAAGTTTGGGGAGCCAGCTAAAGGAGCAGACTACAAAAATCAAGGCAGCCTCACTGAAGTATAACATGTACTTAAGGTTTATATCTGCCAAGTGCAGGAATCAAGTGCTTAGTGAGGAAGGCACAGCTTGCAAAGTGAATATTAAAAATGGAGTCACACTGGGGTGCCTGGGTGGCTCAGTGGGTTAAGCGTCCGACTCTTGATTTAGTCTCAGGTCATGATCTCACAGTTCGTGGGATTGAGCCCCAAGTTGGGCTCTGTGCTGACAGTGCAGAGCCTGCTTGGTATTCTTTCTCCCTCTCTCTCTGTCCCTCCTTCTCTTGTGCTCATGCGCTCTCTCTTTCCCTCTCTCTCTCAAGATAAATAAACACTTTAAAATAAAATAGGGGCACCTGGGTGGCTCAGTTGGTTAAGCGTCCCACTTCCGTTCAAGTCAGGATCTCACAGCTCATGAGTTCGAACCCTGCATAGGGCTCTGTGCTGACAGCTCAGAGCCTGGAGCCTGCTTTGGATTCTGTGTCTCCCTCTCTCTCTGCCCCTCCCCCGCTCATGCTCGCTCTCTCTCTCTCTCTCTCTCTCTCTCTTAAAAATAAACATTAAAAATAAAATAAAATAAAAATGGGGTCACAAATCTAAAAACCCTGAGGTTTTGCCATATTTTAACAACACTGCTTTGTCAGCAGGTAACACTACTACCAATGTAGAGCATTTCATGTAGGATGGACAGAAAGGGGAGAAGATGGAGTGAGAGGCAGCTTTGGAGCATGGGGTCCCCAGGAGAGGCAGCCCTTGGGGATGGTGCCAACATGAATGTTTTGGAGAACTGAGGACTGAAGATCTAAAGATGC